AATCCATCTGAGTGAGCAAATAATTGAGTCTCATAGAACAGATGAGCAACATTAAAAATGTGAACAGAGAGTAAAAAAAATAAAATAAAAACAAAAAGCTCAAGGTGTTTTTTTCTAATTGTGTTCTCTCTACCTGAACAGGCTAGCTCTCGTTTTGGATTCATCAGCTTATAGGCAGAGCCTCCGTTTATGAAATAAAATGATGCTGCTTTTTCCAGCTCATTGGGCCATGTCAAAGGAGGCAGATGAGAAAGTGTTCCATAAGATTTGGGCTTGGCAGTTTACTGAGGACTCGTTAATGAGGCCCTCCCTCCAAGGACAAAGGGGATGCCAGCCTTGGTGTGCTGAGCATTCTCTGAGGCCTGGCTCTCCTTGCAGCATGTTGAAAACTATCCCTGGCCAACAAAATCCTTGTTACCGTGATGGCTGGGCTATGCGTTCCTGAGTCCAGAAAAGTCCCTTCTATTGAGGAGACAATTTTCCTGCCTGTCCCCAGTCCTGAAGCGCAGCTTCTAGTCATACATGCCCGTGAATGGTAGAAGGAACATCGGCCAACATGTTGTCACTGAGGACCTGCTATCTGCAAAGCAAGCCCTCTGTCACTGAGCCAGGGTCTGCTTCTTCTCCTGATATTTGCCCAGGGGGATCCCTGACATGGTGCGGTGGGAAATGAGGGCTGATTGCAAAAGTATTTTTACCCGAAATTCACTCCAGATCATGGGGATCTGAATCATGCACTGGGGCTCCTAATGCAGGAGAAACTCTCCATTACCCCGGTGTTCCTTCCTGAAACATTGGTTCAGAGGACCATGCAGGCCCGCCCTGCTGGAGAGTTCTGCTTCTTCTCTCAGTCCTTTGCCTCTGCCAATGCAGCGTGCTCTCTCAGAGTATGACTACGTGATCTAATAAAGGTCTAATCCTGTGCATGTTTAGACCAACATGAAAGCCTGTCACTCCCAGCATCCACCAGCCAGGATAAGCGAGTATCTACATGTCAGGTCCAGGATGTAGGTGGCAGAGGGCAATGGCTGGAATACTAAGTCCATGGATGATGGAGGGGGATGAAGACCTTGGCGGAATGCAGAGGAACCAGAGGCAGAGGCAACGCCAGGAACAAGCAAAGGTCAGATATTAAGCAAGCCAGGGCAGGTCCAAAGGTAAAGGCAAGAAGCAAGGTCAGGTGCCAACAAGTCATGGCAGAAGCAGAGGCCAAGGCGAGCCAGCGTGAGACCAGAGGTCAAGGCAGATTCAGAAGTCACAGGCAACCCTAATTCCTAGTAGAACACAAAAGCATAATTCTGTTATGTTTTAGCCATGCATTCACGTATCCACATGAGCAGTGGTAAAGCACACCAGATAGAAAGATTTTTTTTCATGCAATCCTCTTACAGTTCTTTCATTCTGTGTGTTCTTGTACATCAGTGGTGTAAAGGAGGAAGGCCAAGAATGAATGGGAAGTTACAGAGAAGTGTGCATGGACAGCATCCTGAACAAAATTAAGATTTTCTAGCCAAGGGGAGAACTGAAGGATAACAGGCCTCTGGCCAGGGGTGCAGAGCCATTCCATGGGGGTGGGGGAACGCAGGGAAGACAAATGGCCTGCCACCCATGCTCTGCAGGATGGATGCACCCATCAATGGGGCCATGCTCACTGGGGTCATTCAGCCCCAGCCTGCTCACGGTGCCCTTCTCCATGCTGGGAGAGGCACGGGGTTCCATGCCTCCCTAGCATGGAGAAAGGGCCAGTACCAGAAGAAATTTCTATTGCTTCCCAGCATTGGCCAACTCCCTGGCTTCACACAATACACAATGCCACCATGGAGGCAATGAATGACATGCAAAAGGACTTGTGCAAAAAATCCAAACCCGGCTGGGCAGAGCAGAGCAGAGCTGAGCCGAACCAGCTCTTCCGCAGACCAGATAGATCATGAACCATCTCTGATCTGCTCTAATATGCTAACCATCCTTGAATTTAACTTATGTATTATGTTGGGATCACCCAAGAGACATAATCCACTCTGTAATTGAAGCTGGCGATCAAGAATATAATTATTTTTGCAGGCTGCTCTATGAGACAGGAATTTCTTCCATGCAGGGAACAGGGGCTGCAGCATTGTGAGGAAATTACAGCTTGCCAAATGGTCAGAGATTATGAAAATGTGCATTGCTGAAAACAGAAACAAGGGCAGACTTATGCCTTCCTGTATCGTTAGCTGGATCAACGTGCTGGACACAGCTCTCCATCACTATGGAAAAACGCGTAACAATTACTAACTGGCAATAATTACATCTATTTGTTAATGCCAGATGCCAAGAGAAACACTTCTCTTCCAGTAAATATTCCGTTCTGCTGCCAACAAACCTCATCTCCAGGGTCCCACATGGGCAAATCCAAGTACACACGCCAGATTTTATTCTTGCCAACTGGAGTCATGAGCCGTGTTACTAAAACTTCAGTGTGCAAAAACTGTGGATCACTTTGCGTGGCCCTGAGCAGTCCAACCAGTGAGCCTCCCAAGTGGGCTGTCCCTGCATCTCTTCAGCTCAGAGCCAGAACTGAGTACCATTCCCCCACAGTTACTTCTCTTACCAAGTTGCCCCCAAAGGCAGGGCAATTTTTCTGTAATCAACTCAATATTCTGGTACAACTTCCCTCATGTGAGTTTCATCAACTGTCATCCCTAGTAACATTCTACCTGCATCGGCAGACAGGTGAACAACAATATATTTTGTGCAAGATGTTTCAGTTTCTGTCCTGGAGGCTGATGGGCAGTTTAGCCACTCTGGGATGTACCCAGGATGCTTCAGGAGCTATCCATGGTGCTGAACCTTTCTTGGGGTATGAAGTAGAGTTCAGCCCCATGAGTTGCTCCTCTAAAGTTCAGGTTGAAATATAGGGTGGACATGCCACTGAACTTCTACCCTTGTTAGTGGCTGTGATGTTAATGCCTGATGAAAGAGAGAGAATGGTATGTATATGCACACAAAAGCATATACAAGGGGAGAGGTGTGCCTTTGGTGGAAATGTGTGTGGAAGTGAGCATGCATTTCGTTTTCATTTTGTAAAAAGAAACAAGAAACATTCATGAACTGATACAAAACAAACTTGTTTTTCAGGAAACAAGATTGGTAGAGTATCTGAAACTGACACATCCAACCCTGTTTCCAACTGGATGAAATCCCAGTATGAGTATGTTTGTTTTGGAAAGCTTCACACACCACAACAACTTCGAAACAGGTTTGGTTCTAGGGTGAGGATGCTGTTCGTTCATCGTGTCATGATTTTGTAAACCACTTTCAAAAACTGGAGTAAGGAGGGAGAGAGAGAGCACATGAGAGAGAGAGAGAGAGAGAGAGAGAGAGAGAGAGAGAGAGAGCGCCTAGTATTTCACTAACATAGGTTTATAAAGAAGAATGCTGAAGTGTCTTAATTCTCATGTGAGTCCCACTTTGAGGCTATCATCTGAAGAATATGGACTAGGTGACCTCACAGGACAGCTCAGAAGGATAGTTTTCTCCCTTACCAATCTGCGTGGTCACAGGGGTTCTCAGATGAGATGCTCCTTGTGGTTCCTCAAGGACATATGACCCATCAGGAGTCCACCCCGTGCGCGGCCTTCAGTGTGGCGGCTCCTTTTCTGTGGAACCCCCTGTCTCAGGAGGCCAGGTTGGCACTGACATCGTGTTACTTTCAGCATCTGCTGCAAACTACCTTATTTTAGAAGCCTCTTTGTTTGACCAGCCATGGTCCCCCCCTATCCCCATTGGCATTTGGTTTGTTTGGTTGGTTTTGCTTGTTTTAATAAAAACTATTAATAGGGTGTTTACATCTTTTAAACTTGTCTTTTATTGTTTTCTGCTTTGGAGTCTGTTCAGATTTGGATCAGTATATAACTGTTCTCTTCCAGTCTTAGAGGCTGTGCTTATAAATATGTCAGTTTCTCACACTGCCACAGTGCATGCATCCAGCAGGGGGCTGCTAAGTGTTGATCTTGTCTGTCTTCATCTCTCTAAAAATCTCTCATGCTCTTTGTTTTAAACAGGCTAAGAGAGGTTCTCCCTGCTCTATAAATGCACCTGATCATCTTACAAATTTCTGTCAAGCCTAACACCAAGTGAACTGATCCATCCAGATGGAGGGATGGCGAGCTTGGAAAACGGCAAAACCTGTATGCAGCTTTCCACAACTTGTGGCATATTCAACTTTATGCTCTCTATATGGCCCAAATAGGCAAAACTCTTGGGGAGGGGGTGCATTTCCTTTCCCCCACCTTTCAATTTCATAGTCCCATTCCTAGGTGGTAAAAGGGTGGCATTACAAGAGATCTGTGGTGAGGAAGAAAAAATTGAAGCATGGGGGTGAAGCTGACACCAGAACGTCCCCCAATAACCATTTCATTATTTTTTTAAAAAGGGAGGGAGGCAACCATCAGCAAAAGCCCCTTGCAAGATGCCCTCTGGCCAAATTTCCCCCCTCAGGAATGGCAGAGGATTTCTCCCACATCCATGACATTCAAACCAAATGTTATCTACAGAGATGCTCAGCTCAGCCTTTGCTGCTTTGTCTGAATTTAGGTAATGTTTACAGAGAAAGTAGGGGTCCAGGAAGTATCCGAAGTGGCACCCTAGCAAAGCAAATGTGGCATTTCTCTACTGCTTCCTCGGCACTTGTTTGAAGAGCCATCCCCTGGTGGGGATGGGGGAACCACCAAATTCAGTTCATTGGAGAAATGCATCCAGATGTGGGTGTACATCTTGTTCTTTTGGACCAAAGCCCTTTTAGTCAGAGAGACTTCTCCACTGTGTACTTGCTCTGCTCCTTGATGAAATTGTGGAGATTTCAGAAACCTTACTTCTGAAAAACAATCTATTTATCTTTCTGTACTCTGCCTTTTGGATTTTGTCTTAGCTACCACATCCCAGACCCTAAGGAGCAGCTGCCTAAAGAGCAACTCAGACCTTCTTGGCATTCAAAGCTGCTTTAGATTAGAAGGACTTACTTGAATGCATTGGCATCACCGCGCACCTTATAATTGTCTGCACTTATTCTCGAGATGACTCTGGTGACCGCAACAAGAATGCCGATGTTGACCTAGAGGAAACAAGAAAAGGTTCCATCAGGGAAAGCAGCTAGGAGTGTGTCTTGGAGCTGTGTGGAACAGAACGATGTTAACTCGTGGTGAGGGCAGGAGCAAAGGAGCATCTCTTCCAAAACTGGAAATATCTGTTCAAAACACAGAAACACCTTGCTTTAATTTATTAAAAGTGTGCATTTACTATGCACTTTATTTATCAAATGCACTTATAAAAGTGCATGTATGCTCTTTGTTTCCCCGTCCTTGATATAGAATGCATTTGTATCAAGAACGTTGTTCTAGACATTAAATTGTTCTCAAAAGAAAAAAAATAGTTCACTGGAAATGTTATGTTTTTGCTGTTTATGCTTTCATTTTTCTGAAACCTGCCAGAGAGCTTCAGCTATTGGGTGGTCCACAAATGAAACGACTAAATACATAGATCTGTGGCAGAATAACCCGACACTGTCCTTGTTCCAGAAATACGGAGGATAACAAAAACACAATTAAGCATGTAATAGCTGTTGTCTGCAGTGCAGCGAAGAAACTGCCAAGTGTTGTTTTGATAATCAAGTCTGCTTTGCTTGTAGCTAAACTCCATGTCCATTATTTCCAGCTACTGGTTTCTCATAGATAGACTGTCCTTTCCTTCCTTCCTTCCTTCCTTCCTTCCTTCCTTCCTTCCTTCCTTCCTTCCAGGACCTCCTGAACAAAAGCTGGAGAGAACCCCTCTTATAAACACCTCTGCTCTTTTGTCCTCTGCTCCTTGTGTTCTTTTTGCTCTTTGATGTACATTACAGTCAAGCCTAAAATGGCCTAGAGATAAATGTGAGCCTGGACACCCCAGATGAGCACAATAAATCCCCAAGTGTGCCCATGACTTAAACTGCTCAATTACAGATAATATTTCGGCTGGTGAAAAAATTCATAGACTCCCAGATAAGAAGCTGAGAAGACCCTTTTGGGTGCTAATAGTGATGACCTTCGAAACTTGAACCTAGAAACAGCTTCTGTAGGAAAAGAGCTGAATCTTAAAACATGTTAGTGTAGAAACAAACTTGCTTTCTTCAGACAGACTAGGGGAGAGAATCTGGCCAAACCTAAAAACTAAGTCTCACGAGTTTGTCTTCTGAAAACTTCCCATTTTACAAGCAGCCAGGTTCCCTGCTGGTGCAGCCGCTTGTGAATGTACTCAAGACACCCTCAAAATCCTAAATGTTTCCTCCTCCACCACCTCCACCCGAATTAGGACCCTGCTTTATGAGTTTCCTCTTAAAAGATGCATTTCTTAAGAGCAGAGTTTAAGAATATCTGGAGGGAAGCGGCCCTGAAAGGATCCACATGACTTCTCTGTGATATGTGAATCAGGAAGAGCAGCCTGGGCTGTTAAGCTTCAAGATTAGGATTCCAAACTCTTCTTGGCAGCAAGCCCTGTTAACTTTCAGGCAGTGGGTGATGGGGGAATATGACAGCTTTTTCTGTTGAATAACAATTTGCAAACAAATGTCTTCATTATTCAGCCATCCAAAGAAAGCGGGATAATAGACAGTTGCTATTATTTAGCTGGAATCCTGGCATTTATTCTCCAGCTCAATAATCAGTTGGAAAAACAGGCTCCCCCACCCCACACTGCGCTAGCCAACACTTTTAAAATTGTCTGTGGCTATTATGGCTCATTTGAAATGTGTGTGCTCCCTATAGACACATTCCACAGCCCTTGCAATCTAATCATATTATAATGGGAGCTATTCCAGTGTCTGCTTGGAAAAAAAGAAAGAAACCCTCACGGAATCAACACCCCGGCATTGTATTTCCTAGATTTCGTACACTGGGATGACTTCACCATTCCCCCAGAGCAAACTTAGTGACTGGGTTCTGTGGTGTGTTATATGCCAGAGTGGCTTGCTAGGTTGTCCAGATCCAGACAAAGTGGGTTCAGACAAGCCCCCCTTGATTAGAGACCACCAGAGGTTCTTGTGTTGTGTGGACCCATCCATAGAATGCGATTGACAAAGCTTATCCTCAGACTCCCACGCCTGGAAATTGGGGATTGCGTCACTCCTAGAGGGAGGCAACTCTTACGAGAACTTGGCACATTTCCACTCATCCTTCCTTTTGCGGCAAAACCAAGTATTACAGGACATATAACACTTATGCAGTTCTACGAACTCAAAAAAGACTCTCAAAGGACAATGCTATTTCTGATGTTCAGGCTGCACATGTTGTGGCCAAATGACTCTAACCACATACAAAAGGGAAACAACAGTAGACTTGGCAAAATGTCTGCAAAACGAAACAAGCACCTGGGGAGGATATCTGTGTGGGTGGTGGGAGGAACGTAGCCCAGTGAAAGCATATTCAGCAGCAATAGTTTTCCATTGTGGGGAGGAATGGAAAATGAAGGGAAGAAGAGCAGTGGGACCAAGCGTCTGGAACTCGGACTATCAGTCTTCCATAAAGCAACATTTATTTTTCGATTCCACTTGTATAACATAAATCAGCATAAAGAACTAAAATGATAAATCAACCAAATATGAACAAAACATGACTTACACTCATAAAACAGGAAGTACATTTTGGCAGACTTACAAATCTGCCATTTACATCAAAGAAAAAGTATATTTAGCAAGAATGAAATTACGGGTTGGCTCCAGAGTGAGACAACCTTAGAATAGACCTGTTGAAATCAATAGGACTTCGCTTCATCAGTATTGAGAGCCAAGCAAAGCATCTATTCAAGGTATGGCCACATTTAGTATGCTATCCAAACAACACTTTTCATTCAGTAACTATGCCCAGTATGTCTCTTGTTAGTTGTTATTGTTGCCTACCATTTTGTTATCTTAGATAATTTCCAAAACTTCGCCTTGTGTCTCCCTCTCTGTTCTCTGATGTGGTTCTGTGGAATTTTGATCTCCTTCCATCTTGTCTGAATTTCAAACTGCAGTTAATGTTCCTGACAGTGACAACAAGTCAACTTCATAAGCCATGGTTTGAGACAAACCATGATTGAATATTAACCACTTGCATTTAGAGAGAACAGAAGAGCGGACAATGCAATACATTCTCATATTTCCAGCTATGCCAGATCCAGGAAACCTCAACCCCGAAGCCCAGATCTGGCCTTCTGCAATCCCCATCTGACCCTCTGGCAAAGGCCCTTCCAACTGGCCCCTCCCCATTCCAGAACCATGGGTTCTTTGATCTTTGCCCAGCTTTTGTGCAGGTTTTTCCTCATTCAGAAAGGTTGGAATGCTTCTCCTAGGACTCATCCACTGACTTTGAGAACCAGCAACAATATGCTGGTTATTTGGGGTATTTTGGCCTGCCCCTTTTGCCTTCAACCCTCTCTGCCTGAGAACACCTTCAAAATTAAATCTGGCCTTTAGACTTTAAGCCCCACTCGCTGGCCTATAGTTTAGTGTGAACTTTTGAATGATGCACAGGAAGATGCACTCCAGTCCCACATGTAAGCACATTGAGAAAGGAAGGCGTGACAAGGTAGCATTACGGCAGATAAAGCAAATAATGGTATTCATAACTAGACTGAGTAAACAGATTTGGTATGAATAGTTTTATTAACATTCTAGCCAGCTGGAGCAAATAATCCGTTCCATGTACATTATAAAATAAATCTAAGAAACAACCGCTAACTTGTTCTGTCGCTGGGTGCTTCCCTCCCGCTTTTCTGATATTTGACATAAATAGCCTGTTGGCAGGTTGAATGGAGGTGAAATGAATGGCTGATGAAACACTCATTATATTTTTAAATTCTCCAAATATAATAACCATAATGCCAAGGAAGAAATACAGCATAATTGTGTAGATACGAGCACAAACAGAGCTCTTGTGCATTAGGGTGCTTGAACAATGGGGATAAACACTGGGGTTTTGGAATTGTTATGTGGAGCCATTTGCTTTATTCTGAAGATACACTTTCCGTGGTTACTGAGGTGGTGGGGGGAGGTTTGCAGTATAATTACATATGAATTCAGGAGTTGGCAAACTAAGCTGTATTTACTCAGATCAAAACTATATAACTTATAAAAACAGTTCAGGTTTCACATATGTCAGATACTTTGTCAAGAAAGGCCCTTTGTACAATTCAACAGGATGGATTCTGGTAAGGAAGGGGCATTGTATATGTATGAAACTGTCTTCTACTCACAGTCAGATCATTCTCTGCTCAGAGTTTCCTGCTCTGAATACGAATTTCAAAAAATCTGTCAGGATTGTTTCACCAGGATTCTCTTTTTCAACATTTGTTCTACACAGCATGCACATCTGTTTTTCCATTTGAAAAACTGTATGGATCTTTATGTACATCCAGAGGAAAACGACACATTTTCCTGCATACTTGTGTGCGCTTCAGAGAACTTAATAGCTATTCTTGCTCCCTTCCTGGTATACACATTTTTTGCACACAGTTTTTGAAATATGGCACAGTTTGGACACTTGGTTGTTGTTGTTTTTCCAAGTTCCTTTACAGACTTCACAGTATCTGAAGCTACAGCCTGGTTTATCCCTGGGTCCACTGATCTTGGTATCCCTGCTGCAGAGTCTGAACCTCCTCCACATCTTCCTGAGAATCCATTCCCACATCCCCTGAAAGAGTGTTGCATTGCACCCGGCCTCCACAGACTGCTTGGTGAGCATTTGACAGGGTCCATAAATGGCTGGTGATCTTTTCCCTGAAGAAACAGCCCATCTTGGCAGTAAAAAATGCCTTGTCATTAACCTAACTGAAATCCATGAGCCAACTCTTCCCTGTTTCCCACACCATCTCCATCCCTTGGCTTTGAAATGTCTCGCCCAGCATTGTAGTGGTAATTTCTTTCTTTCTTTAGTGCACTCACTGGTGATGGGAGGTGATTTAAGTCCCATCCTCTCATCATTATCAGGGACACCTGCCATTACAAGTCATTGTGGTTGTGGGGTGCATTGCCAGGTCACAAAGGAAATCATTAAGCAGAGGCTGTGCTCGCATCGTTTTCATCAATGGAGCTACAGGGTTTTG